AATGCCTCACTTTTATGAGTTAGAAACAAGGTCCATGTAAACCTAGAGTAGTCATCGACAATCACAAACGCAAAGTAATTGCCACCAAAACTTTTCGTTCTAGAAGGACCAAAAAGATCCATGTGCAAAAGTTGAAGCGGTCTAGACGTTGAAACAACGTTCTTAGACTTAAACGAAGCCCGAACTTGCTTCCCTTTTTGACATGCATCACATATGGCGTCTTTTTCAAACTTAAGTTTTGGAATGCCAATTACTAAGTCTTGTGAAACCAATTTGTTCAAAAGGTTCATGTTCATATGAGCTACCCTTCGGTGCCATAACCAAGTGTCTTCCTCTTTACTCATGAGGCACTTAGCAAAGTCGGAAGGAGATTTGTCTAAGTTAACCATATATATGTTATCGATTCTATCACCACGTAGAATGACCTTATTGTCACTAAGGCGTTCTACCCTGCATGATTTTGAACCGAAGGTCACACGGTTTCCCTTGTCACATAATTGACTTATGCTCAAGAGATTGTGTTTAAGACCTTTAACAAGCAAGACATTATCTATAGAGGAGTTTTCAGATTTACCTACCGAACCAATGCCGATAATTTTTCCCTTGCTATTATCTCCAAAATCTACGTTTCCTCCTTTAGCGGGTTTGATTTGGAGAAACTTGGATGCATCCCCGGTCATGTGCTTGGAGCATCCGCTATCAAGGTACCAAAGTACACTTGATGCCTTCAAGCACACCTATGAAAACACATCAATGAGTTTTAGGTACCAAATTTACGTTGGGTCCTCGGGTGTTAGGTGTGTGATGGTAGTGTGCTTGATTTTGTGATAGGTGCCTATGCCTAGTGTAACAAACGGGAGCAATATGGCCTATCCTATTACAATAATGGCAAACTACGTTGGGATTGTACATGTTCCTAGGTTCATAATAGTTAGAGGGTTTGACCATTTTGTTCCTATTTTGTGAAAACAATGGTTTTTGAAAATTTTGAAACTGGCCTTTTCTAGGTGCTCTAGCATTATTTCTTCTAATTTGAGAAAATTCGTTTTTATGCACAAAATCATTTTTCTTAGGTTGTCTACCATGACCATTTTCGTTCCTAGGTTTTAGTCTAGGTTTTCTATTATCTTGATTTTTAGGTTTCTTATGTTGAACCTTAGATGATTGTCTACGTGGTGGCTCAACATTTTCTTTAGCTTTATTTTTATCAAAACCTATTCCTTCCTTAGAAAAATGCATTGTGTCAAGAAGTAAATTTAAGTCTTTGTGAGGAGTATTAAATTTCTTGACCGTGCTCTCAAGTTTAGCGACTTGCTCTTTTAAAGTTTTACAAGACCCGCATTCACTTGATGAGCTTTCTGGTTTGTCAGCGCTTCTTTTTCCCAAAAAAAATTGTTTTCTTGTTTAAGTATTTCATTTTCTTTTTCCAATTTTTCAAAATCGTTTTCAAAAGAGGAAAGACGTTTCTTCAAAGATTTATTTGTTTTAGAAGCGCTAACAAATTCCTCATAAAGTTCATGAAGTGCTTCTTGCATTTCTTCAAAAGTATAGGAGTCGGAAGAAATGGTACATACCTCTTGGACGTCGTCGTTTTGATCTTCGTGCGCCATGAGGTAGAGATTTGCAGCTTCGTCCTCTTCTTGGTCGGTTGATTCATCGCCGGAATCGCCACCCCAAGAGATGTAAGCCCTTTGCTTCTTGAAGCCGGGCTTATCCTTGCCGTGTTTCACTTTTGGACACCTTGGCTTGATGTGACCAATCTCGCCACAGCCGTATCACTTGGGAGGACCGTCGTGCTTCCTTCCCTTCCGCTCAAATTCCTTCTTCATGAACTTGTGGAACTTCTTGATGACAAGTCCAAATTCGTTGTCATCATCGCTTGAAACCTCCTCTACGGTCTCCTTGGTTGCTTTGAGCGCTATTCCTTTCTTCTTTTGTTCATCCAAAGACGGGGTTAGAATAGTAGATTCATAAGTTTTGAGGTTACCTCTTAGCCCGTTGATGGTGACATTGGAGACTCCGATGGATTCGTAGATTGCATCGGCTTTTGACCTCCATTCGGGTGTGAGACTCCGCAGGATTTTCCTCACGAGATCCTTGTTGGCGTAAGTCTTTTTGAGAGCATGAAAGTCGTTGATGATTTTTGAGAACCGGTCGAACATGTCATCGATTTTCTCACCTTCTTTCATTCGGAACATTTCGTACTCTTGAGTGAGAAAATCGATCTTGGCTTCACGAACTTGATCAGTACCTTCGGTCTTGGGGTTGACTGCACAATATAACATATTGATGGCCTTTGCATAATTCTCAATCTTCTTGATGTCCTCGGCATCAAACTCATCTTCGGTCTTGGGGATCAACTTGTCGTCAACTTTCTTCATCGGGATTTCCTCTCCGTTTTTGATGACCAACCATAATTGGAAGTTGGTGGAACGGATATAGATTCTCATCCGTTCCTTCCAATAGGAATAGTTGGTTCCGTCAAAGAGTGGTGGCCTAGAAGTTGATTAACCTTCTCCAAACGGTTAGGTGGCCTAGAAGAGCTCAACCTAAGAAAGATAAAAATAAAAATTATAGACAACCTAGACAAAAGGTTAGTCATGAACCCGAGCCCTCTAGGCAACCTAGGAGGAATTATCAAAATGATTTTATGCACAGAAATAATTTTAGAACACCTAGAAGAGAGAGTCTTCAAAATACCCAAAAACCAATATTTTCTCAAAATATGACGAATATAGTTAGACGCCCTAGCTATTACCAACCTAGGCATATGTTCAACCCAAACGTAGTATGCCATTATTGCAATAGGATAGGACATTGTTGAAACACGGGCTTGTCACATTTTTCGTACTAAAGCCGTGTTTGTTCTTATGACAGGTTTTGATAATGCCAAACCGCCGTGATCAAGTCGAACATTGAATATACAAGGCGAAGAACGAAGATAAGAGCAAGAGCTAAACGAAGATCAAGAACGAAGACCTTAGTCATAGTATTGAGTCGGTCTTTATTGTGATCAAGACCGACCAAATCTTTACACCTTGGCTCTTTAGGCCAAAATCTCTCATTGCATTTCTTACATCATAAAAATGTTTTTAAAACTTGTTTAAGTCATTAAAAACACTTGGTGTTCGCCCAAACCAAAAACCAAGCCATCCAGTGTTCGGCTTTCAGAAACCAGCGTTCGGCTTTCAGTTATCGGCTTTGGTTTTTGGCATCCGAACCAACAAAGTGGTTTTCAGCATTTTATGATCTGCTTTCAATCTTTGGCATGTTTAAACGGTTCTCCAACAAAAAACTTTGAAAACCATCTTTCGCTTTTAGTAGTTTGACAAAAACCACGCAAAACAGCGTAAACTTGGCTAGCCATGGTTTTTACTAATATGACGTGGTTTTTAAAGTGACTCACTTGATTTCTTAGCCAAATACATCAAATAAGTGTTTCAAACACTTGGTTTTTATTTTGGAGAACTTTGGATTTTTCGGTCGGTTTTTGCATCGGTTGGCTAGGCCGTGGTTAAGGCAAAAACCATAGGTTTTTGGCTAACCACCCACCCAGCGATGGGAAGAACATCCCATCGATGGGTAAGCGGCCCCTTAGCCAAACCAACTTCCAGAACCATGTCAAACAGCGATGGGAGGTTCTACCCATCGCTGTTAAAGCCTTGGTCCAACATTATCACAAGGCAGAATGCCCTTACCCAGCGATGGGAAGCTTTACCCATCGATGGGAACCCAGCGATGGGAAGCTTTACCCATCGATGGGAACCCAGCGATGGGAAGGTTTAACCATCGATGGGAAGGCATGACCGTTGTAAGTCATTTAAGGTTGATTCTTTCCATGTTTGGAAGTCAACCTCCCACCCAGCAATGGGAAGCGTGTACCCATCGATGGGTAGGTGACCGTTGGCTTCAAAACTGAAGGAAAATTGGCCTACCAGCGATGGGTAAGGTCCATACATCGCTGGGAAGCCAATATCCTGCAGATCCCAAATTTATTCAATCCCATAAATCAAGCAAATCACCCCTTTAATGTATTGGTCCGTTGGAGCCTATTTTGGAACTATAAAAGGGGGTGTTTGGGTCTGCTTTACACACCAATTCACTTCACAACATTCATACTTTCATTGCATTCAAATACCATCATTTTCATAGCTTTTTAGAGCCATTTTGTGTGAAGGTTGAGTTGTTCTTGAGCGTACTTAGTTTACTCATAATCTACTCTATAAGAGAGCCTCGTTCTTGAGTGTATTCGTGTTCCTAGACACTTTGAGAGAGTATTTCTCCCGGTAGATTCAAAGGAAGGGCTGTTTCCTTTGAAGGACTCGTTGAGGTTCGTGTAACTCGAACTCTCAAGTTGTAACGGTTTGTTAAGCACCCGCAAGCTTAACGAGATAGTAGTGTAGCTCGAGAGAGTCTCTCGGGAGGCTGGATTAGCCACAAGTTGTGGTGAACCAGGGTAAAATTCGGTGTGCCTCTTACTCTTCTCTTTACTTCTCTTTTAATTTTTTAATTCCTGCGATTTCTACGATCAAACGCTATTCACCCCCCCTCTAGCNTGTTTCCTTTGAAGGACTCGTTGAGGTTCGTGTAACTCGAACTCTCAAGTTGTAACGGTTTGTTAAGCACCCGCAAGCTTAACGAGATAGTAGTGTAGCTCGAGAGAGTCTCTCGGGAGGCTGGATTAGCCACAAGTTGTGGTGAACCAGGGTAAAATTCGGTGTGCCTCTTACTCTTCTCTTTACTTCTCTTTTAATTTTTTAATTCCTGCGATTTCTACGATCAAACGCTATTCACCCCCCCTCTAGCGTTGGTCTATTATTCTAACAATTGATATCAGAGCCTAACTCGCGTCCAAACTTAACCATTTGAGAGTAAAGCGATCATGGGTTCTTCTTCTAGAAATCTCTATGCAGGAATTGGAGAAGGTCAGTCTACGTCTAGGCCACCACTCTTTGATGGCACCAACTATTCCTATTGGAAGGAACGGATGAGAATCTATATTCGTTCCACCAACTTCCAATTATGGTTGGTCATCAAAAATGGAGAGCAAATCCCAATGAAGAAAGTAGGAGAAACCACGGTCCCAAAAACCGAGGACGAATTTGATGCCGAGGACATCAAAAAGGTGGAGAACTACACCAAGGCAATCAACATGCTGTACTGTGCCGTCAATCCTGATGATTATCGCAAGATCTCTTGCTGCACCACTGCAAAAGAAATGTGGGATAAGCTGGAAGTCACATATGAAGGAACGGATCAAGTTCGGGAAGCCAAAATTGACTTCCTAACGCAGGAGTACGAGATGTTTAGAATGAAGGAAGACGAGAAGATCGACGACATGTTTGACCGATTTTCCAAGATAGTCAATGATCTTCACGCATTAAAGAGGACTTACACCAACAAGGATCTTGTGCGAAAAATCCTGCGAAGTCTCACACCCGAATGGAGATCAAAGGCAGATGCAATCTATGAATCCATCGGAGTCTCAAATATCACCATCGACGGGTTAAGAGGTAATCTCAAAACTTATGAATCTACTATTCTAACCCCATCTTTGGATGAACAAAAGAAGAAGGGAATAGCGCTGAAAGCAACCAAGGAGACCATGGAAGAAGCTTCAAGCGATGACGACAACGAGTTCGGACTCGTCATCAAGAAATTCCAAAAATTCATGAAGAAGGAATTTGAACGGAAAGGAAGAAAGCACGACGGTCCCCCAAAGTGCTATGGCTGTGGCGAGATAGGCCACATCAAGCCAAGATGTCCAAAAGGCAAAAGCAGCAAGGACAAACCTGGCTTCAAAAAGCAATGAGCCTATATCTCATGGGGTGGAGACTCCGGCGACGAGTCAACTGATCAAGAAGAGGAGGAAGCCACCAACCTCTCCCTCATGGCGCATGAAGATCAAACCGACGACATTCAAGAGGTATGTACCATTTCTTCCGACTTATACTTTTGAAGAAATGCAAGAAGCACTTCATGAGCTTTATGACGAATTTGTTAGCGCTTCTAAAACCAATAAATCATTAAAGAAACGTCTTTCAACCCTTGAAAATGATTTTGAAAAGCTGGAAAAAGATAATGAAAGGTTGAAACAAGAAAACAAATTTTATGGCAAAAGAAGCGCTGACAAACCAGAAAGTTCTTCAAGTGAATGTGAATCTTGCAAAACTTTAAAAGAAAAGGTTGCAAAACTTGAGAGTACGGTTAAGAAGTTTAATACACCACACAAAGATCTTAATTTACTCCT